CACCCCTCAAATTATGAGCAATGACCTCAGCCATTCCTAGGGCAGCTGAGTGCTATTACTGTCTTCATCACCACCAGAGGTATTTCTTTGATGGTGCTCCTGGCAGGGATGCACTTTGGAAAAGAGCAGAGTTTCAGATATGTATCTGCCTTGTGATAGACACTCACTTACTGCTCCCTTCCAGATTGCTTTCACCAGGTGCTCTGACAGCTTTAAGTTCAGACACTTAGTATCTTCAGGGAAGAAACATAATTCCTTGTGATCTTGCTCATCTGTGTTGCTGGCTTTAAACTGAATGCCAGAAAATAGCAAAATTGCAGGCATCTATCTGTTGTGTTGGACTTTTTTAGCAGTGTTTCATCAGGCCGAGGACTTGAGACAAAACTGCTACAGAAATGTCTGACCCAGCTCCAGCTGCAGTCAGTGGAAAAAGAGTAACTGACTTCAATGGGAGCTGGATTAGAACCTAAAACAGTGAGTGCAGTGGTGCTGCGGTGTCTTTCATCTCAAAGCTGCTGGGTGGAATCCAGACTAGGCTGGTAATGGTTGGGAAGCTGCCAGCTGCTAATGATGTGGAACAAGTTGGTGAGTCCTTACTCCGGTTTGTAGGAAGCCACCAGACAAAACAAGTCCCGTGAACAGCCAGCTCAACCCTTTCCTGGTTGGGTTTGTGCTGTACTGGCAAAAGAGTACTTCAGAAACTTACCCTGATGTGGCTCCTGTGGTGTCTGATTTGCTGAGGCCACAGTGCTTCTGTGCACATTTATCGTTCTGAAATTCCCTAGAAATATTCTACATGCTATAAAAACAGTGTCTGGAACACAGTGCTTTCCCAGATCTGGCCCACTCTCCTGCTGCTTTGATACACTCATAGCATAACCAGAGAACCGGTCTTCCTCCTTGATTTCCCTGCATGTTGTCGCAGCTCCTGGAGTGAATACAGTGAATACCTGCACTCTGCAGCGCTTCTTATTTCAGCTCCCATAGGTGAAGGGCTGTGTGTGATGAAAGAGCAGACACCTCTTAGTGTGCCAAAAACCTCAAATTCAGCAGACTGCTGAAACAAAGAAGAGGTTGACTTTCTAACAATATCCCAGCAGCATGTGAAATGGTGAGAGAGATTGGATGACATGCACATAACAAGTAAATATTTCTCCTGTTTTCAGAGCTATTCTGGAAAATGATGACAAGGAAGGAAAGCCAGCCCACACACTTGAGGTGAGCAGATACAAGCCAACGTACCTCTTCATTCCACCTGGAAAAGGAAAATGAGAGTAAAGGTGATGACAGCAAAAAAGCAGGTAATATTTTTGCTGTGCAGCTTAAACCAGTGAGGTGCTCAAGCAGTGTTGATGGCTTCATTTTCCTGAGCTTCAGAAAAAGTTAATGCCACCTATGCTTTTTTAGAAATCATCTCTCCTTTGAGATGTGTTTCATGGACAGGAACAGGAGCCACAAGATAGGGTACTTTCAAAGTGTCCAGAGAGGTTGATAGTCAAATATAGGCAAAACGAATTTCAGGCAGAGAAAATGTACAGGATCTGGTAAAGACCAATCTTGTGTGCCTAGTATCTCACTGCCCTAAGATGGTTTTGCTTCTAATTTTGGTCTTATAGTGCTCTCTGCTGGGGAACAAGAGGTAGAGAAAAGCACAGCTGCAAGTATTTAGTCTAGAAGTCAGACAGGTACCTCAGGCTAAGGAATGATGTGCAAATTTAGCTTATACATTTCTCCAGGAAATTTTTACAACCTCCTCTGGCCCACTGGTATAAACGTGAATTAACAGTTCTCCAGGAATGTTTCTAACTGATGCAGAAACATATGACAGAAATGTTTGGAGCCTTCAACCGTGCTCAGTAAAGCAGCTGTTATGTTGGGTGGCAGTGGTCTCCAGGCAAACAAGCTTCTCTTACACCTTTGTGCATATCCAGGTCGCTAGGTCAAGGCACCTAGCTGGAACTGTGTGTAACAAACTCCTCACTGAGCTTGACGACACAATTAGATTAGTCTTTTCTACCACTTTGCTGCTGGCAATGGTAAATAGGGTAAGCAGCAAATTTCATAATGATAATTTGCCACCTAGTGGAATACCATGCAATAGCATAAATTGTTGCTCACATAAGCTAGCAAAAGACCTGCTAAACTCAGATTAGATGCATGCAAGAGCTGAATATTTTAAAAAGTCCTTATAGGCTGATAAATCTCACACAGAAAGTGAACAGGGAGATGCTGTGAGGCTGGCTTCCCTTATGGATATTTTCTATAGCTGATTCTCTTAACATTTGTAAGACATCATAGGATGCACAGCATACTTTGGACAAAAGGCTATAAACAGTGTAAGATTTGCTGACCTTTGTCTGTCCTACCTTAGCCTAGCTCACACAGAAACAAAGGAAATGGAAATCTCTCCCTACAGCTTTAAAATCAGGAGGTACAACCTGATGTGCCTCTGCATATGTAACCCCACCATGCCAGTAAGCGAACCAGCTCAAAATGTGTTTAAAAACAGCTCAGCTCTGGACATTTCCTTCCCCAGGTCTCAGGGCACAGGCAGCCCTGCTAGAAGTCCTTGTCCAGGCAGTTTTCTGGGAAGCTGTTTGATGAGTGGCTGTCTTGAGCTACGCCTCCATCACACCTCCCTGTGTGGGCTGCTGCCCAAGGCAAAATGCTCTGGCTCTTCCCTCCTATCTGGCAGCTGCTCTTGCTCTTGTTTGGCCCTTTGCCTTGCAGACAAGCCCACTGCCCAGTTACCAAGTGACATTTGCATAACATACACAGCATAAGGGCAGGGAAAGAGGAAAGGAACAGGAATAGCAACAGAAGAAAACAAGCTGAGGGAAAGGGCACCCATCGCACGCGCACATTCTGCAGGATCAGATTCCCCCACTTCTCTGTGCCAGTAAAACAGCTGACCAGACCTCTCATATGCCCCATTCACTGTTCTTCACAAACAGTGATTTCCCTCTCCTTCCTCTTTGCGCCCTAAGTCACACAGATTTTCTTCTGTCCCTCAGGTCTGGCTTCCTGTTTCCATGCTGTAAACCTGCTCCGGCTTAACCAACCCATTTGATCTAGGAGCTGTTTTCCCAAGTGTGCTGGTGGCTTGGAAATAACCTCCTGCCACATCACAGCTCTCCACAGATGGGTGTGTGTGCACACGTGCACACTGTGAGAAGGGCTGCTTTGTTTCTGTGGGACTGGGAGCATAAAATTGCAGCTTAAGGCTGGTTTTAATGTGGGGGGAGCTTTTCTTGGTTGGGCATGTGGGGAAATGGTTGGCCAAATTGTGTCCATGTGTATGTAAGTATGACCGCTCTGTGTGCATGAATATGAGAGGCCAGTGCTCCCACAATTGTGCCTTTGACATTTATGGATACACGTAAAGAAAATACACCCCAGCTTTCACTGTGCATACGTGTGCTTATGTGACTCCTTAGTTATTTGCATGTGAATATGCACCATTTCTATTTGATAGGAAGCCTTAGCAAAGAAGTACACAGAGCCAGTTGTGGTGGCACTGATGTTTTCAGATGCCATGGATGTGTTGTCTTAATGCTTATGCCTACCTGCATGCTTTTGTCACTGTGGTAATCTCAGTGGTTTTATTGGCTGGGAAGAGGCACTTCAGAGTACGTGGACCTTCACGTGGCAACCAAATGAATACTTCCTGCAAACAAAAGAGAGATGTTAATAGAGTCATCTGCCTCCTGATGATCCTGTGAAGCTTGCCAGCTCTCTTCTGAATCATCTCCTTACCAGATTTTTCTATTCTTAGATTAATTTGCCTGATCCGTTGGGATTTTACTTTAAAGAAAGCTCTTCACTTATCTCATCCTTTGACAGGTCTGGCTTCCTTGAAATACTGACAGCAAATCCATGTCACTGTCTGGAGCTTGGTCTATGTTCTACATTATCACAAAGAGTAGCTTTGTAGGGCAGTTTAGGATCCTCAGGATTCCAGGTTATGCGGGGGCCAGATATCTTGAGCAGTGACTTGGCTTCAGATGCTTAATGCTGTGTTCATTCCTTAGTCTCAGCAAACCCTTACACAGCCCACTGGATTAATTCTATTTCAGTACGCCGTTACCCATTAGCCACCACACAAGATCTGAGAGGTAGATGTTCTTTATAGCACCTTGGTGTTCATCACCGTCGCCTCACAAAGACACAGGAAGGCCTGAAGGACTGTTTTTGGAGACTGGGGTCCTCCCCAAAAGCACTGCCCCCACTGAGGACTGAGGTCCGCTCCATCTCTTGGTTTTAAGCCGTTTTTTCCTCCAAAAAGGAATATGCACACAGAGACTTTGAACTCCTGCATTGTGCAGCTTTGGGGCTGGAAGTTCGGCTTGTGCCAAGCCGGAGGCGTGAAGTTCATGTCTGGATCTCAATTCAGTTAGGCTGTGCGTTCAGCTGGTTGTCACGGATAATAGAACATTTGTGTATATGGAAAAATGTGCAGACTTAGGGTCTTCTTGTAGATTTTAATCTTTTCCCCAGGATTTTAGCTTTAATGTAAAAAGCCAGACATTCCTAAATGTCCTGGCTGTGAAATTCACCCACAGCGCATAAATTGATGGCTCCTATAGAGGAGCATAAATCACTGCACCGGGCCGGAGTTCTTCCACTGACTGCAGGGAACGGAGAATTGAAAAAGCCTCGTGTCGTGTGCCCTGAAATCTGAGCGCTGCTAACCGTCACCGCCAGGGCACCCTCACAAATAGCCCTGGATCGGATCCAGGTGTGCCAAAGGCTGTGGGAAGCTGCAGGTTTTGAACACGTTAAGTGGAAGTCGCGGTGTTTTTCTGAGCTTGGATCAGTGAAACAGCGGAGCTGTTTGCTATGTTCTCACTGACTGTAAAACCAGAAGAGCCGTTCGCATAAACGACAGCCGGGCGTCGCCGCCACAGCGCTGTGAGAAACCGCGCGGCCGCCGGCAGGAGGCGTTTCCCGCCCGACGCGTCGCGCGCGCTCGTGTGACGCGTTGAGCGCCGCCCGCCGGCGTCACGTGCGCGCGCCGCGACCCGGCTCTGCTGGCAGCGGCCGGCCGGGCAGCCGGAGTTCGGGCGGCAGCGGTATGGCGGGCGGCCCGCAGGAGAACACGTTGCTGCATCTCTTCGCCGGCGGGTGAGTGTGGAGGGCTGCTCGCGAGGGGGGTGGCTGTAAGAACTCCCGCCTCGCTCTGAGGGCGCGGCGCCGCGGCGGTATCGGCTGCTTTTAATTCAAAATCTCGCTGGGCTGGGCTGCTGTGCCGGCAGCGGGCGGCGCGCCGCGATGGGCTGCTGCTGCTCCGTGTGTGGGAGCTGCCGCCTGTGGGCTCTGCCCGCTGGGCTCCTGACCCGAAAAGGGCCCGCTCAGTGGGAAGGAAAGGCAGAAAGAGATAAAGGAGGCCTTGGTGTTATTGCATGACGGACCTGGCTGGGATGCTGCTGCTTTGTCTTTGCTCTTTGAAGGGGTTTTGAGTTTGGTGTGTCGAGAGCCTGGGATGGAATAGACAAAAAAACACCCTCGTGAGATAGCTATCACGGTCATTGCAGCTGAAGTGCGGTGAAATCCTTATAATATGTAAATTGAAAATAAAAAGTCGAAAGTCCAGCAAGAAAATCGCACCCACCCACCTATTAGGCGTGGATGTAGTAGGTCTGACCGTGTCAGAAATCTTGTTTTTAATGGTTTAGGCTGGCTGAGCAGTGGGATAGCTGTAGTGCTTGCCAGCTGACAAAATTCAGAAGCCCACATGAAATCTATTGTTAGACTTAATCTGCTTAATAGCAGACATTGCAGCTTCTGTTGCTAAATGGGGAGAGGAGGTTGGCTGTGAAGTTCATTTAATACAAATATGAAAGCCACCAAAGCCAAGTTTTTCAGACACATGGCCTTTCTTCTGCTGGCTAAAATGGTTGCATTGTTGTAAGTACTCTCTCCCTGTTGTTTTTCCATTCTCTGCTGGATCCTGTGCCAGAAACTGGACCTGGATGTGCCCATGCAGCCAGCTGGGATAGAAACAGTGCCTCTCCAGAACTCCAGGTGTCCTCGTGTAACTCCTTGCACAATAAATAAATTGGAATTGTAAACTCATTTGGGGTTTTAATTTAGCACTGAATGTTCAACATCTTCCTTAGTTATTTCATAACAATCTCTGCTTTCTCTTAAGATCTTAATAAACATTTTCTATGCTATAGCTGGGATATCATTAGGTTCAAGCTGGTTTTGATAGAATGCGGACGGAAAGAATAGAAGCACAACAGAGAATATCATCCTGGCTTCTTAGTTATAATAAGATTGATCCATTTTTAAAACAGTTCTGAAAGCGTGGCATGCAGGAGAGAGATGGTCTTTTAGGGCATACAGGCCTTTCCAGGTTAATTGTTGTAGCTGATTCTTGTTCTGAACGTGTTAAGAAGGCACAGAAAAATGCACCGTCATTTGCTTGGCTGTGATGTTACAGAAAGGACAGTGAGACAGCAAATGTAGTTTTCCTTCTTGTGCACCAGCTAATGCTAAGGTGTTTGCCCTTTTGGTGTAGGGAACCTGCTTTGGCAGGGGGGTTGGACTCGATGATTTCTGGAGGTCCCTTCCAACCCCTACAATTCTGTGATTCTGTGCTAATAAGGGTATGCGTGAATGTGCCCACCTGCTATCCCAACACAGTTCTGATTGTGTGTCACATTTAATAATGCTGTTACCTCTGCCAGTCAAGTCAGAAATGGGGACTTCTTAGGGCTGACTGGATGGAACAACAAACTGAACGTCAGCTTCAAACTGTCATACAGAACCTGCAGAACCAGGACCTTGGATAAAATTATCCCCTCCTGTAGAAGAAAGTTGTAAGCTCAAACTGAATTATAAGTTGTGCAAGATGCTGAGCTTTGTTCCATGGTAAAATACTTTTTTGCAGGTGAAGCTAGAGGAGTTCATTCACTTAAATAATTTTGTTTGAGATTTACTGGTAGTATTACAGTATAGCTTCTTGCAAAAATGAGTATGGGGTAGTGTATCAGATCTCAAGGAAATGCAATGCAGTTTCTTATGTGTGCACAAAAAACGCAAGTCAGCTTGCTTACAGATAGAAACAGTCATTGACTTCCTCTCTTGCTTGTTTTTCATTTTAAGATTTACAGTAATAACAGCAGACCAAAAGCTCTTGGGATATTGATGGGAAGAGGACTGTGAGGGCAGGAAAGGTTTCAGAAGCAACAAATAAAATGATGCTTATGTTGTACAACAAATGCAAGCTGCTTTCAAGTCTGGGTTCCTCCTTCCCTGCTGAAGTCAGTGGAGTTCTTGCTTATTTTTGTTTGGGGAAAACTTTGGCTCAGGCTTCAGCAGAGGTGACTTCATTGTCTTTCCAGCTGTAATAATATTGTTTGCTACAGGGATTTGCTAAGAAGTCATCTTTAGAGGCAGAGCAAAAACTGAACAAATTCCTTACTGTAATTTATTATATAGGTACTGAGTGGTGTCTATTTCTGAACCTCAAGAAGAGGTTTTTTACTGAAACAAAGGGAACTGTTTTTATGAATAAAATCACATTTGTGACTTTTTTTCTGTTTGCTGTTGAGGCTTAACTCTGCAACTCCTTTCTGCTATGAAAGGCAACCTGTAACACCAAGCAGAGCTTCCTTAAGCCACCTGGAATGGAGCTGGAAGCATACTTTGGAAAGGATTGTTAAGTGATTTGGTAAGGCTGACAATACTGGTAAATCTCAAAATTTAAGTGAATGAGTTCCTCCAGCTTCACCTGCAAAAATATTTTGCCATGGAACAAAGCTTAGCGTCTTGCACAACTTATAATACATTCGTAGAATGGAGAGAAGCAGCCTTGCACCTGAAGTATTTACTTCTGTTATGCTATGTATGGTCCAGGATAGCCCTTAAGCTGATAATGAGATTTGCTGCCTTTCAGCCCCCTATCTAGTTTAGGTTCTCGTCTGCTTGATGTAATTCAGTAACAGTGCATCAGCCTGAGGAACACTGAGTGCTGGCAGCAATACACACACCTGATGACAGCTTTATTTGTTGGAGGTGCTGTGAATGCTTTATATCTCAAAACCATAAAGAACAGCCTGTATTGTTTTGAGGATGACTTCCCTGTGGTTTCTGGGAATGCAGCTCCTCACGTTGTTTACGCTTTTGATGATGCAATACTGAATATCAAACATGCAACCTGCTTCACTGCTTATGCTGTGCGTTTCATGCTAGGCCATGTGGCACACGTCAAAAAACCAAAATAAAATCCCTGTCACAAATAAAATCATGGGGAAAATGGCTCATCTCAGTTTGCCTTCAAGGAAAGCAGATGCACTGGTGCTGCAGTGCAGTGCTTTGTGCTGATAGTGCCACTGAATTTAGCTGAACAGAGTCCTGCATCTATCAGAGGGGCCCAGTCAGTAGCACCAAATGCAATAATCCCTTCTCTTAATTAAGTTACTTGGCATCATCTACATCGGTTGTGCTAGTGGGTGCTGAGAGTTTATTTCAAATGCAAGTCACTGGTGTATTGGGGGTGGACTTTGTAAAAATAGAAAGCTGTCAGCAAGAGAAAAGTTAAAATTAAATTTTGAGATTTATATTCTTGGCGTGGCTTTTACACAGAATGTTTTCTTATTATGGAAGTAAATAATTTTTCTGCAATTCATAATGTACAGCACACTGTACCTCCATAATCACTCAGCCCTTGGCTAGAGGATATGAAACGTGTTCCTGAGTTTGGACATGACAACTCAGAGATATATTTTACTGCTCCAGTGGTCATATATGCCTGGCTAATCGTGTATCCAGAGGAAGTATTTGTAGCCTGAAGTACAAATACTGTTTTTCTGGCAGTTTGCAATGGGCCCAAGCTGATGCATTGTTGGGTGTCTCACACTGAAGGGATTTGTGTGTGTGATGCATGCAGAGCAGGGCTGGGAACCCCTCGTTATGGGCTTGCTGTGTGACTTGTCACAGATAGCATACCCTGGTGTTTTGTTTCTGAGCAGGTCTCTGCCTTTTGACTAAAGGCAGATTTAGAGATTGTTGGGCTTTTAGCAAGGGAGTAATTGTGGTGAACACCGCTCACATCTCTGGAACTGCAGTTCTGCATGGTGTTTCATTAAAAACCTCATCCTAATCAGAATTAAGGCTTAAATCTGCAATCAAGGCAATTCTCCATCTTCCCAAATCAAATGTATTTGGCTTCATATTCACAGCTGAATCTTTCAGGGTTAGGGCTGTTTATGTAGCTGAGAGAGGCTGGTTGTTGTTTTTCCTTCCCAGATGAAGGTATTTTGAACACTGTAGGAATACAAAGTGTTTCTTTTATGCACAGCATGTTATTCAGCCATCTTTCTGGGAATAGAGCAACGCCAGGATTTAATGGAAACAAATTCCCATGTGGAGGAAAATCTGTTCATCTGAACAAGATGTCCAATACGTCACAGTCCCTAGTAGAACTGTCTGCTGCTTATTTATATTTGGGGCATGGTTTATGCCTCCTATTGACATTCTGAGAATTGCTCCTTTAGATAATGCTTTTTTTTTCTTAAACGGCGTGCTGGCAACGTTCACTCTGATCTGTTAAAACTGATGATGCAGATATTAATTCATTGTGTTGAATATCAAGGGATTGCATATACATTCCCAGAAGTACTCAAATATTCAAGTCTACATAAATTAACTGGGTTATCAAACCAAAAGGATGAAATTCCAGAAGCGAGCCATGAAGCAAAGACAGCTGATGCAGGAGGGAACATGCCTGAGAGGCTAAAAAATGTTATGGCACAAAGATGTCACAGTAGTCTGAGCAGCTGGTGGGTCGGAAAAGGCAAATGGAATTTCAGTGTTGTGAATTTATGGAGTGTTACTATGAAAGTTTTGTTCTGATGTTCATAAACGATGATAGAAAACACAGTAGTGTGGTGTTGGTAGATGAATTAGCTATTAAGGAAATTAAATTATTTTCGTAGGACTCACTCGGACTGTTTTCTGAGTGTTAATTATATACATTTATGTACTGAATATATGCAGTGAGGAAAGTGGCAGTGTGGGTCTGCAAGAGGAACTCTCAGAACACTTTGTCCTTGGATTTAAAGGTCTGAGCTCTGGGGACATGAAAGGTTTTGCAGGTTGAACCATTCCTGGCCTGTTTCTCCCAAATGTGGGCTGTGGGTGACATGAGAAGCATCTAAAAAGACGGAAAGATAAACTGAAGTGACGTCCTCCAGAGTGGTACTGACAGAACAAAAGGCTTGTGTCCAAGCTCTCCTTCAGTACACAGAACAATCAGAGACCTGGTGAGGTCTCTCTGAACACCGTCATTCTTGATCCCAGTGGCACACCTAGTTCCATAAACAACTTTGTGACTGTATTCAACCATCAAATCTTAGTGATCTGAAAGAGATGAAGGCAAAGCTCTTTCTTACAGGATTTGTCACTCTGAATGTGAAGATTTTCTCAATTTGGTTAAGTTTTCTCTCCCTTAATCAGGGAAAAGGAGGCAGCAAGACCTTAGAGGAGAAACTCATTGAAGTATTGCTGTTAAATCAGATTGCCAGGCTTGGTCATATCAGTTTATTCTTTTGGATAATCGTACCTGAAATGCACAGTGCTTAGAATCCAGGAGCCTCAAGAGTATTGGCCAACAGTTGTTGGTGTTTAATAGAAGACATACTGTTTGAGCAAGTACCAGATAATGCCTTTATAAACTGGTATGTATCTACAGCTGCATTTTTTTGCCAATCTTTACCATTTTCCGTGTGCTTAAAAATGATTCTCCTATTGAAGTAGTTCACATACAGAAAATACATGTTAGTACCTCTGTTAACATCCTTTTGTAGTTCTCTGTTCCCAAACATGAATACAGAGTTCTTGCTGCTCTAGCAAGTAATTTTTTACATGCATATCAAAGGGTGGGATTAGGTTTTTTCTTCCTCTGCCTCTCATGGAGAATTACTTACATCACAAATTGACATTAACATCAAAGAAAGTTAAGTTGTAGACTTGTGCTGTTTTCCAAGGAAAGTCTAAACACAGGTTTTTGAAGGGATAACATACTTAGATACTTGTACAAACAAAGAAAACATTTCCTTGTCAATCTGTTCAGCTGTAGGAAATGCCTTTGGAAAAGAAAAAAAAAAAAACAAAACAATAAAAACCTCTTAAATCTTCCTAAATCAAAACGTGTTAGTTTAATAAAACTAAGATACAGTGTTCTTTTTAGTCATCCTCAGAATTATTCTTAGTTGTCAGGTTTCAGAGAAGAGACATTCAAATATGTTTGAGGAGCAGTGACAGAGCGCGAGATGTTTGCCCAGGGCCGCTGATGAGAGTTGGGTGTTGTGCACTTGTGTGTTCTTGGCCCAGTGTGCTTTTTGTGAGCCACTGCATTAAGATGAGCACAGCCTCTGCAGCAGAACAGGAAGCTCTAACGTGGCTCCCCAGGCTGTTGTAGCATAATTAATAATGCAGCATTTCAGTACCTAAAGGGAGCCTACAGAGGGGAGGGGAATCAACTCTTTGAAAGGGTTGATAACTGCAGGACGAGGGGAAATGGTTTTAAGTTGAGGGAGGGGAGATTTAGGTTGGATGTCAGGGGGAAATTCTTTACAGAGAGAGCGGTGAGGTGCTGGAACAGCTGCCCAGAGAGGCTGTGGATGCCCCGTCCATCCCTGGAGGTGTTCAAGGCCAGGTTGGATGGGGCCCTGGGCAGCCTGGTCTAGCATTAAATGTGGAGGTTGGTGGCCCTGCATGTGGCAGGGGGGTTGGAGATTCATGATCCTTGAGGTCCCTTCCAACCCTGGCCATTTTGTGATACGAAGCTCAGTGTGTTGTTTTGGTGTAACAACCTTAGAACTCTTTCATTCAGCCTGTTTGCCAGCTTGGGGAATTTCCAATTTTTGCTCCCCTGTTTCTTATTGTGTGGCAATAGTGATGACCAGCAATTATATTCAGGACTAGTTTCATATTGAGGATTTCTGTAGCTCTTTTTTGCACCGGTGATAGAAGTAATGGCTGCTGGTGGTTTTCCATCACTGGACTGGAACATTCAGATATCATCCCAATCTCAGTAAGAAGCTGATGTGTGATTCTCACTGACAACATTAGCCTGCCTTCCTGGGAAAGGTGTAACAAGGGAGGGTTTGGAACCTTCTTTTTTGTGCAGTGTAGTACAGAATATTGAATCCATTGTGTGAAACTCTACATAAAAAGTAGTCAGCCCTGGGTAATATAGAAAGAGTGTGTCTGGAAATCCTCAACCCTGATTCAGGTTTGTTTATTTTCTAATATGCCTTGAAATCTATTTTTTATGATAGAGTTCTATGTCAGGAGTGTGAACTAGGTGAGTTTGTAGCAACAGATTGAAAACCAAGCTTCCAGCCACCAGCAGTTTCTGTATTCTCTGGTTATAGAAAGAAATCGTGTGTTAAAGAAAGATGTTGAAAAAGCCCTAGAACAAGAAAAACATGGAGTGAGACAGTGATAAGAGCAGGATAACAACAGTTAAAAAACTTTAACACATGAAACTATTAACTTGGTTTGCCCACATTTCCAAAGAAATGCCTATAACCATAGTTTGAATTGTTTCTACCATCTACTGAGTTTATTTTCAGGTGGATACCTTTTAAGTAAGAGGACTTTATGCCAGGTGGGATTTTTTTCTTTTCTTTTATATATATATATAAAAAATAATGTGGATGTAACACAGTGGCTCCCTGACCCCCTCTGTTTAAGGAAAATCTCCCTTGGAGTGGCCTCCATTCACTGAGTCACAGCAGTCTGCAGTCTCCAGGAGTATGCTCAGTTCAGAGGTGTGTCACTGATACTGCCCATCAACCATTGTAACTCATCAGCATTAAGTTTCCAACACAACAGCTGTTATCATAGAGCAGGCTGGGCAAGGTGGGTGTGATGCACTCCAGATCACTGACACTCTCCTTATCTTGGAGAAATTTAACCTTCCTTTCAGAAGTTGCTTTGGAAAATGTCTGGCTGCTGCTTAGAGTGCAGCCTGAGCCATCTCGGCTGCCTTTCCATCTCTGTGCCCAGAGACATCCTAGTTTCTCAATCAGTTTCTCAGCTTGGATGTCTCAGAAAGGATGGGGAGGAGCTGGAACAGGCTGCCCAGACAGGTGGTGGGGTCACCATCCCTGGAGGTGTTTAAGGAAAGGGTAGATTTGGCCCTCAGGGACCTGATACAGTGAGCAGTATTGGTGGTAGGTGGCAGTTGGATTGGATGGTCTTTTTCAATCTTAATAATTTTATGATTCTGTAATCAGTGTACATGTGTAATATTTCTGTGCTTCTGTTATCAGGCCGTGGGAATTCTAATTAATTATCTTTAGTAGCCTGAAGAACAGCAGCCTCCCCTGTTCCCAGCCTCCCTCGAATCCTTGCAGCTTCCCCACACCAGAAAAATTGATAGCCATTGTTTTTAAGAGAACCTAACTTACTGTAGAGAGCTGTTGTAATCATAATTATTGAAATGGTGAAGGATTATATTGCTGTGTTTGCTGCGTACAGTTTCTTAATCCCCAGTCGCTTGTTCTCATCTGCCAGCTTCCTTCTTCCCATAGGAAAAATCCATCCAAGGATATGTCAGTATTAGGACAACAATCTCTGAAACATGGGTGCCTTTGAAGTTTTTACAGGCAGGATTCCAGCAGATGATCAGTCATGGATTTTTAGTAGAGTTGGACATTGTTTTTGTGTTTCACCCTTCCAACCTCATCACTACATGGGATCATCATAAGTGTTTCTCAGCCTTCTCTCCCCTCCCACAGGGCTTAGGGACAGTCTCCCTTGCCTAATGTGGAAACAGTTCTGCTTCCTATTAATTTATCCACAGTGTGGAGCAATTGGAGTCAGTTATTCAGTTTCTTATATATACTCTGTGCTCTTGTGACTTGCTATATCCGTGCAGCTACATTTTACTGACTGTCTTCTATTTAAATTGTGTTTTACAGATGTGGAGGAACGGTTGGTGCCATCTTTACTTGTCCCTTAGAAGTAATAAAGACTAGGCTCCAATCTTCAAAACTAGCCTTTCGGACTGTGTATTACCCGCAAGTCCAGCTGGGGACCATCAGTGGTGAAGGAATGGTCAGGCCAACATCTGTTTCACCTGGACTCTTTAGCGTTCTTAAGTGAGTACTGTTCCTCTGGTCCTTCAATATTAATTGACACCAGTGATCTGAGTTTCGATTCCTCGGTTCAAATTTTGCTCCAGACTTGAACTACAGGGATACATGTCAGTTAGGCTTTTGGATTCAGCAATAGAAAGATTAAATTATTCTTTTAAAAATACATAAAGTTCCTGAGTGTTCCTTTAAGCTTCCACAGAACTTTATTGCTAGCACTCAGAAGCTTTCTGAAGCACATTGATTTGGGTAAGTGTCTGGGAGTGTTATTTTTAATCTACTTTTGAGTTTTTTGTAGTTATTATATTCTAGGAGTCAATACACACTGTGTACTCCAAGCTTTGTGTTTAATATGCTTTAGCTTGCAGGAACTATCAGAAAATATTCTGGAGAAAAAGGCCTTTTTTTTCCTTTTCTTTTTTTTTCAATAACAGGAAGACTTTGAGCAACAGAACAGGTAATCCTTTCTAGCTGAGGCCAATTCTTGGCACAGTGGTTGAAGGACTGAATGAACTATGCACTCTGTCTTTCCTGGAGCCATTCCCAGTCTTCTCTGAGTAGCTGGAATGATACTTTTACTATTGCTGCCCATGCTATTTAACAGGTTGATGAAGTAAGGTTTTGATTTCTCTCTCTTTGGAGCTTCATTTAAAGGTGAGAGTCTGTAGCCTTTCCTCCTCCTTAATGGGCCAGTGTTGTAATGAGGTTTCTGATTCTCTGTGTTTTGCGATGCATGTCACTCACTGATCCATCTTCAAAACTCGTCCTACCCGAGTGCTAATTTGAACTAGATGACCCCCAGAATTCTCTGATCCCTTATATTATTGGGAGGAGCTGTTGACTCCATTGAGAGTGGGGAGGCCTTGCTGAAAGATGTGGACAAATCAGAGAGCTGGGCAATCACCAACCACAGGAAGTTTAAAAAGTGAGTGCTGAATTCAGCACATAATAAGAGGCAGCCCTGTCTGTACATACAGTATTGGAAGGCCACAGTGTGGTTTCTCTGGAGCCTTCTCTCTTCAGGCTGAACAAGCCCAGCCTGTCTTTGTAGCAGAGGTGCTCCAGCCCTCCTCTGGACCTGCTCCAAAAGATTTTGCACATCTCTTTTGTTCAGGGGGCCACAGACCCAGACGCAGTACTTCGAGTAGGGCCTCACAAGGGTAGAGAGGGACAACCATCTCCCTTGACCTATTGGGCACCCCTCTTTTGATGCAGCCCAGGAGTTGGCTGCATATTACAGTTGGCCTTCTGTGCCACAGTGCACATTGCTGGCTCATGTTAAGTTTTTCATCTATCAGGAGCCTCAAGTCCTTCTTGCAGGGCTGCTCAGAGAGTTCTCCTAGTGTGTATGCATATGTGGAATTGCCCCAACTCAAGTGCAGCACCTTGCACTTGGCTTCCTTGAACCTCATTAAGATCACACTGATTCACCTTTCAAACTTGTTCAGGTCCCTTTAGATGGAATGCCTGCTTTCTATATCAGCTGTACCTCTCAGCCTGGTGTCATCCACAAACCTGCTGAGGGCACACTCAATCGCATCAACTACACCTGATAAAGATGTTTAAAAGTACCAGTCCAAAGACAGACCCCTGGGGGACAGCACTTGCCACCAGCCTCCACCTGGACCCAGAGCCATTGATCACAACCCAAAGTTATGGTTCACATATCATGCAATGCATCGAGTTTATTTGGATCATTGAGCACATCACAGGGTAATGCAGAAGGTCCTGCTTAGATCAGGTAATAGAAATGCCAAAGAAAATACTGACTAGCAAAACAAGTTGAATGATTTATGTAAGGCCAACACACTTGGCAGGTTGCCTGAGGAGAAGCTGCACAGTTATGTAACAGTACAGTGCTAACTCAAATTCTCTGCAGAACTAGAGATGCCTAGAGTCATTCTGGGACTTGAGTTTCTGTTATAAACAGAGCTTCTTTCTCATGCCAAACACTTTGTATTCAGAGGTGAATCTACAGCAATTCGTGACCAAAAGTAGAACTCAGTGCCAATTGCCTTTGATTTTCTTCTCTCCCTTTCTACTTTTTCACCTTGCAGCACTGGACTAAAGACAGCTGCTACTAAAGGAAGTAATAACTTAAACATATGAGACTGTTAATTTATTTCCTTTTCCCATCTTTCTCTAAGATCTCCCTTTTAGGGGAAGAAGAAATGGGTTAAAATTAGGTCAACCTTTTAATGTATTTATTAAGCTCATTAAATTTGGTTGACGAATCTTGATTTCATTTCACCTCAGAATTTCTGTGGTGACTATGATCTTGATTTCATTTTACTTGAGGAATTGCTCAGCTGCATGTCTCACCACGTTTTTGACCTATTTAGTCCAGAGGATTAAGAAGTGAGAATGAAATAATCATGCGATCTGTCATTCCCTTGCTGACAGTGTCTGTGAAGCACAGATAATGCTACTGATTGTGATCTTTGTGATGAAACACAAATGTATGAAGAAAGAGGAGTAAAGTTAGACCTCCTATACTCTTACACCCCTTTCTCAATTCTGACCATACATACATGGCTGAACTGGATGTGACTTGGATCCTCTGTTTTAGTAGGAAAATTGTATGGCTGAGGAAGCAGCCTTTTAGAGCCCTACATATAAAACTGTTCTAGAAGACTCAAAGATGCTGAATATGAAAGCTCCTTAACTGCTGTAAATAGAAAAAAAGTAGGTACTCAGGAGGGCAGGTTAAGCCTGCTGCTGTATAGAAAGCACTCCAGAAGGACGGGCTGTTTTTGTCTAATCCGTTTAAGATTCTCATGAGTCACCCCAGCTGGAAGCTGCAGTCGTGACTGTTAAATGACAAAGAAGGAGTAGCTGGTGGATCTGTCTCCTTGGAGACACTCAGCTCTGGAGTTTACACAGAAAGTTCTACTCCACTGCAGGAAAAAAAAAAAAAAAACCACAAAACATTTCAGGAGCTCCTATGTATCTTCTTGTGCCTAATGAGCTTGTTTTTGGAATCCGCAGGGAACATTCCCAACAGTGCTAATGACCTAGAAAGCAAACTGAGAATTGGACAGTACAAACAGATGCACGTGAACTTCCCCTGGGACCTGGTGTTATCTGGATTTTATTGCATGGTTTTCACGTGATGAACCTTTATTTCAGTTGAGGTCTACTGCAGCAGACTGCACTAAGCCCCAGTGATTACTGGACCGTATCTGGCTCTCACTGGTGCATACTTGGCTGTTTACCAGTGTTTGGGTGTTAATTCAATCCTTTTGAATATTTCTTCTGTTAATAATGCAGATAATTGTGTAAAAGTCTTTTTCACCTGAGCAAGCATAGAGTTTGACAGCTGGACTATCATAGAAGCTGAACATGCCTTCCAAGATGTGGGGAAAAATGGATGAAAATGGCTTTGGAAACTTGGGCTGTAGCAATTGCAGAACTACAGGAAAACATTATTTGATTGTTATCCTGCTTTACACCTGGTCATAAAATCTGGTGACGTACAAAAGTAGTTTGTAGCATCCTTTGGAGTGTTGCTATGAACTCTTTTGAGTGCCCTCAAAACCAGAACAGTTACTCTGAACTGCCTGGGGGAACAGCTTTTAGAAGGGTGCAGCATTCAATTTCCACTCTGGAAAAAAAAAAAAAAAGTGACTAATTGTGAAAGGGGAAAGAGTGCTGGTGGTTTTAAATTTTTTGTGCCTCTGTTCAGGCAACAGACTCCTAAACTGCTTAAATTTCTTGGATACAGAGATTGACAAAAGTATTCTTTGTTCTTCAGTCAACTAGTATTGGATTCTCTGTGAAACTATCAAGTTCAATTCCTTTCAGCTTTCAAAAATGGGAATTATAACCTTCTGTCATATGACACGCATTCACCTGTAGCGCACTGAAGTCTTATAGCACAGTGGTCTTTATTCAGTAGTGTATAATTCTGCTAATTTTCTTTTGTGCAGTTTGAAAACAAGGAAGTTCACAATTAACATTGATTTCTTTAGCACAGTTCTTTTGACTGTCTGGCAGAATAAGAAGCGTAACTTTTAACCTAAATACTATTCTTTTTTTCCTCTGTTTGCTTTTATTTTTAGGTCAATTCTGGAAAAAGAAGGACCAAGGTCACTCTTCCGAGGTCTGGGTCCAAACTTGGTTGGAGTTGCACCATCAAGGTAAATAGTTAAGCTATTGCTAAAAGACACATTTAAAGCATCAACCCAAATGTTGCAGCCCATTCGCAGTGTAGAAGAATAGGCATAAAATTGTCCCATCCATAAACTGTGCTTTGCAAAGCATCAGACTGCACAGCTTTTTTGTGTCAACAAATAATTCTAAAAATCATCCTTACACTTGTATAGCACTGACTTTCACTTACACGTATCAGTAACTAATGCATTTAGTACCTGTTTCTAGTTCAATATTCATATTCTCTTCTTAAAAGGATGGAATACTTTGAAAGTCAGTACTGTTTTTTCTAACAGTGAAACCTCAATCTGACAGATTTGTCATTTTTTGGCTTCTGTAAACTTGTGTATGTGTGTCTTAGCTGCTTGTTGTGATCTGTGCTTTCTGTTAGCAGTGGAACTTTGTTTATGATGCTATCCTCAAAAAAATAATTAGGAGGGGGGAATATTTTTAATGTATTAATACAAGTGTGTAAAACTGCTTTTAGTTTCAGTCCAGGGTTAAATGCTTCCAAGGCAACTATAGCTCTCACCAAATGTAGGGAAAACATAGGCTCAGAGTGGGATGTTACAGTCCCAAGGGTACAAAATGTATTAAATGCCAGGGTTGCCATTAGTATCCAGTCTAACTTGCTTTAACAAGACCATGTTGCTTCACATTGCAGACTTGGTATGAAAGTAAGATATTTCTGCCCTGTGGGTGTCAAGTCAGATAGTGGCACCTTAGAAGAAAAAAGCTTGTATTCTTGCAGATGGAAAATTCATACAGAGGCCCCTTTTTAGAGTCTTGTTCTTTCTAGAGGAGGTAATACTGTAATGTACCTAACTTGATGTCATGTGTATTATATTGCTTTTCTTCTGTTTTTTGTTTGTTTTTCCACAGAGCTGTCTATTTTGCATGCTATTCCAAAGCCAAAGAGCGATTTAATGGCATTTTTGTACCCAACAGCAACATTGTGCATGTCTGTTCTGCAGGTTCTGCAGGTATGTGTTTGCAGTTCACTTTCCATATGGTCTGCAGCAATACTCCAGCATCTGGCCACTTAGCTGTACCTGCCATGCTTGTATTGGTATCTGCAAGGCTCTGAGATGCACCTTAATTTTTTGAAGTTTGTATTCCAAGCTGTTACCAATACAAGACTCGTTCTCAGTAGCTAGAAAATGAATGGAAGTTACCATAAGACAGGGACTGGACTTTTAGTCTGTCAGTACAGGTTAATAGATAATTCCTGACTGTGGTCTGTGAATAATTGTGACATCTGTACAAGTACAAGCTTACAGATCCAGAAAACATTGGTATAGAGGATCTACTTTCTAGGAAATATATCCAGCAATCATCTCCATAAAAGGGTGAGATCAGGAGATGTAACTGAGATTATGAAACAACAGTATGTATAAGGTGTTCTTAATGAGCCAAAGTTCAGAGACTATAAATAAAATCTGTGAGTCTGGAAACATCTTGTTCTCTCACAAAGAGACAGGAGTACTTGGCAGGATTGCTCTGGAGACTGTTAAGGAACACGCTCTGAAGAGTTTAAACTGGTGTTTCATAACATTACTAAAAAGGGGTAAATTTGCTCTTGTTAGCATCTTGTTTGAATAACCACCTATCTCTGCAATCTAAAGTTTGTAGCAAAGTTGTTGCAGGGGTTTGTGCCAACATACCAATTGACAGTGCAGTCATACTCTGGCACAGTGCTTTCTATAGGCTCAACAGTACCCTTGTGAATAAGTTATGGCAGTGTTATTTATTTATTTAAACTTCTGTGCTTTGGCCACGTTGAGCATTGAGGAAGGGTTTTAGGAATTGCTGAAGCAAATGAAACTGATAGAAACACATGCTTGAATGTCTTTCTAACTGAAGACTTTCAGTAAGAATATTGTAAAACCATATGCCAAGTGTTACAGCTACAGAACTCTGAATAGTGGCATGACCTGATGCTCACTTGTAAAGGATGGGGACCCTTCCAGTGAAATAGTGAAATATTCTGACATCAGCTTTTGGAGAAAGCCAACGATAGACTTCGCAGAGCTCGGTCCCAGGAGTTTACTAGCTTTTAGCTTACCTTACTTGCAGAGGAGCTGTTTTACTGTTCGATGCTTCATAATGTTTCTGAATTCTTGTTCACAAGTGAGGATAAACTTTTATTCCAATTGAAATGCTATAAAAATATTTCTGAACAGTTTAAAGCAAAAGTTAATAGACATCAGCAAACCTTTGATACTGTTTTAGCCAAATTATTTTGGTTTGTTGTATTTTTTCCTCCCAGGATAAGAAAATAGCTTGTTCTTATTGGAAGAATACTGCAGAACAGCTTCACTAATTCAAATATCAGTCAGCAGAGTGATCATTAAAAATGTTTGCCAAACTAACCCCATAGTTATGGGTGGATTCAGTTAATGAGATAGCTCAATGGCACCACCTAGAGCCTTGGGGAAAGCAAGAGACTAGTAAATGCATGTTTTCCGTATCTATTTTTTCTAAAACCCAGTCAAGTAAGTAAGCTGTCTTGCCTACAGTAGTGTTTAGAAACATGAAGTACATAAGTGCAGAAAGAAAAGAGCCCTTAAGGCCATTGGTTGATGCTTTCTGGAGCTTTCTTAATATAAGATAGTTCTCTGGCTGGAGACAGGATAGAAGCTACACCCCTGTATGTTGCTTGAAACTTCTGCAGCTGGTAACTAGAACTGTCACTGCACAGTGTATGTAGTTCAGACTTGCTTGAACAATGTCAGTAGACTGGCCTGAATTCTGCTATACTTCTGTTTTTCTTTTTGCTTTTTCAGCCTTTATCACAAATTCCCTGATGAATCCCATATGGATGGTGAAAACCAGAATGCAACTGGAACGGAAGTAAGTAACTGAAGGCAATGGGGTGCTGCTAAATGGCTAAGGCAGCCTCTGGAAAACTCTGAAAAATTAGACAATTTTTTCTGATAGCTATTTAGACTTTGGTAGATCTTGCCCTATTTCCCCAGTTCTCACTTTCATCTTTGAAGCAACCGTCCAGGTCATGCTGGATGTTTAGGTTTTGGGTGTTGGTTTAATCTGATTCACAGCTTCTATAGAGGGATGTGGAATCTGCCTCCAGCCTGAGTTAGATTCAGGTTTTGGTTCCACTGTAAAATTCCAGTAAATTTAGGCATAGCATTAATTTGCCCTCAGATCCCGCTTTAAAAAGTCTTCTGAACCTCAGGGGTTGATGTTGAGGCTAAATACATCAGTGACTGAAGTGCTCTGATAGAGCAGTAATAGAGGCTATGGAAAGGTCAGGGGAGCTCACGTGGGAAGCCAAACGTGGCTCACAGTCCTTGTCCCACTTGGCAACATCCCTTGTGCTGGCCCTAGACCATACAGATACATGTATTACAGCAACACACTGAGGTTGCTGGTACACAGTTAAGTAGCTATAAACAGAAAGAGTGATGTTTTTTAAATTCTAATGAAGCAGGATTTGTTTAATTTCATAAAATGTTCCAGAGGCAGCAAGAATCTGTTGTTTTATGTTCTCATATTCCTTCAGCATTGTATCACAGTTAACCATACCTCCTGAAGCCAGAGGGGGAATTAGGCAGTAATATCTTCCAGTTGGGTGATTCGTGGTCACTGGTGGATATTGAAGCAATGAGGGATTCAGGTAATAATGTTGCTCGTTAGAATGGAAATTCTTTCCTGCAAGGATGTCTTATGTGAAATAAGCAAGATCCTTTAAGACACCATCACTTATAAATAATTTATAAGCCTCAATTCCAGCACTTCACAGGGTGTCACCTTTGAACAGAATGCTGCCTTATTAAAATGAAAGATTGTTTCTCATGTAGGAGGCTTAAGTATCTTGGCCTGCTGAAGATAGCTTTAAGTGGAATTAGTAGTTTAATATAAAGCAGTGTCTCTTCAATACTTACTGTCTTTTAAAGCATTGATGTGAACTGTCACAGACTAGTTAGAGCTGGAGCTGTAAGAATTATTACATGTATGTATGAATTTGCAGAGCCAAGTGTGCATTCTCAGCATAATAGTCCTTCTCCATTCAGCTTTCTTAGAATATTTTTGAAGTAAAACTTGTTAGAGAACCAATAGAAGTTTTGAAAAGTATTGAAAGCCATCAGTTTTTGGGTTCTTTTTTATTTGTTTGTTTGTTTTAACTTCTCATTCTGGGCTCATTATATTTTCTGTTTTGTTTTGTTGTTGTTTTTAGAGTCAGAGGTTCAAAACCAATGAATGCTCTGCAGTGTGCTAGATATGTTTACCAGATGGAAGGTATCCGTGGTTTTTATAGAGGATTGACTGCCTCCTATGCTGGGATTTCTGAGACCATTATCTGCTTTGCTATTTATGAAAGTTTAAAAAAGCACTTAAAGGAAGTCCAGCTGCCCTCTTCTTCTTCTAACGGAACTGAAAGGAGCTCCACAAACTTCTTTGGACTGATGTTTGCTGCTGCTGTTTCCAAGGGCTGTGCCTCTTGTATTGCTTATCCACACGGTATGTTAACTTTTCCATTTGTGACTGCAGAACAGCTGTTGCCTCTAATGCAAGGCAAACTGATGATGAGTTTTATGGTGGTAAAATTCCTGTCTGTTTAAATGGCCTGTGCATGTTACTGTGGCATGTGCATATGCACTGAGATTTTTAGTACTGTTCTTATTATTCCTGCCTAGCTACGCAGTTAGAGACTAGCATTTCCTCATTTCAAAGCCACTCCAAAAAAAGTTGAGTGCCTATTGCATCCATTCTCACTAGTAGCCTCATCTATATGAGTCCCAACTGCTGTTGGGAGCTTTTAAACATTTAGTTCATATGCAGACTGAATAATAGCACTGTGTGGTATTTGGAAGTAATTAAGTATTTAGAAGAATAAATAGGTGAATAAATAGGTGAAGGTTTGTTTTCTGATCATTTGATTATCTGATGAAGTAATACAAACTCAGAAGAGAGTGCATGCATGCAAATCGAGTGGTGGGAACCACTCAGTGGGTGAAGAGTGGTGTTTCTGGAGAAATGAGTGAATGTCATTGTGGTTTTATAGAGCAGTATTAGCTACGTGAGTATCTTCATTTTGTAGCAGCTTGACCAAGCAAATAATCCATTTTTTTTCTACATGGAAGGGCACCCCTCTTTAACATTCCTTCTTGTCTAAGGGACAAAGCATGCAGGATTTTGTGTCTGAAAGCCCTGGCTAGCAGGCAATAGGTGCAGGGAAGTTTTAACATCCCTGGGCCTTGCATACCTTTTTTTTTATCTTGGCGTGTTTCTGGGAAGGTGTAAGTCTTGTTAACCATGGGCTCTTGTTTTACTTTTCTGCAGAGGTCATACGGACACGGCTGCGAGAAGAAGGCACTAAGTACAAGGCGTTCATTCAGACAGCACGGCTGGTAGCACGTGAGGAAGGCTACCTCGCCTTCTATAGAGGACTTTTTGCCCAGCTCATCCGGCAGATACCAAACACAGCCATTGTGTTGTCCACTTACGAGTTAATTGTGTATCTGTTAGAAGACCGTGCGAAGTAGCAGAGCCAAGACTGCTGTTACTGACTGTAGACCAATTTCTTTGTTGAACAAATAGTCCTTAATGACTGACACAGGTTGCATTGTTGGTGGAAGAACTACAAGTCTGTGATCACCTGCTGAATGTTTTCCTTTTGGATTCATGCTTTCTGAAAGGTTTTGAGTCATTAACGTTAATAGTTAATTATAACTTTTTTTTTAACTTAATGATAATTAAGCAGCTACTAAATTAAATTACACTATTTAATTTAAGTATATGTTTGTCCTTTTCCTTAAGCACAGCCGTTGTGGTCAAGGAATGTACCTCATACCATCAAGTGGTCTCTTGGACTGATGTTCATTAAAACTGTATTAAAACTGAAGAACTGGCTTGGAATTTTGAAACTTAGTCTTCCTACCACTACTGTTGTGTCATCTTTTAGCACTAAAGTAAGCTTATGTCCAAATAACTTTGAGAGGTCTTCTAGTTTATTTGTAGTACATCACTTCTTGCTGTGTGAACGTTCTGGAGCGTTCAAGAGGCACACCAGAATCTGTTAGAAAAGCCACTTACACTGGTAAAATTTGCAAAATAAGATTGTGGGAAGCTCTTCAGTAAAATGTCCTTAGTTACAGCACTGTGCATCTGTGCACTAGTGTTTGCAGACTGACCTGTCCTGACTAACTGCTTTTAGACCTTGCTTTTGTGAATGGCTGAGAGCATAAAACAGTCAGTGTTTGAGGCGTGGCCACCCTGTAGAAATTCCATGAGATGTGCTACCTTGGTCGTGTATCCTGACTTAAGCCTTTTTCTACTTTGGAGCTGTTTTTTGTGTTTTTCAATGCTAGGGACCTGGAAAGTAGAAGAGAGGATAAGATAGGTCTCAAATACTACAATCTTTGAATGCAGTTCTGGATTCTGCTTTACAATACGGCATTCAGGAATAAATCCCTCTTTATTTGATGTCTTCGTAGAGCAGCACTTGTAGTGGAACTGAGATAGTCTGTTGTCTCATGGTCATGCTGCTGGAGTAACCACCAAAAAACCCACAAAGCCTGTGTAGATATTTTCTTTGTCATTATTTGGTTTCTTAGAGAATGAAATAAGAAGGATCTGCCAGTCTTGTGCAACGCATTTCACATTAATACAATATCTACCCATCCCCTTCCAAAAACACAATATTGAAGGGGAATTCCTCAACAGTACTCATGATATAGTTCTTACCTTTCAGCTAGAAATAAAATATCCTACATAGTCGATGCGATTGGCCCTCTCTTGAACATTGAAATGTACTTTTAATTTCAGTAATACCTTTACTGCTTGTAGTGCAGTAGTAACTTGTGATTAAAAGATAGTCTGCATTATAATTCCTGAGAGAGCAGGATAAAATATTTTAGAACTTAAATAAGATCTGTGTTTTGCTTTGGTTATTTTGTGCTCTCCTGTTCATTAGTGTCATTTGCTTTGACAGCTGAAACAAACACTGCAGCATTTGAGCCCAGCTTCAGTCTTCCCTGCTGTTGAACTGAACAATAAGCTTCTCATGATCTGAGCAGGTGTTGAGCTCTTGAGCATATGCAAGTGTTCATGGACATCTTTGACTTCAAGGAGCATATACAGCAGAGATGTTTTTCAGACTTGGAAGGATCATGCAAAGCATTAAGAAAAAGCCTGTTAGTGAGTAGGGTTGTCTTTTGTAAGACAGGTTAATATTTGGTTGCAGAAATACAATAAATTCAAACCTAACCGAACCTAGCTGGTGACTGGTACTTGATGTCATATTTGACATCAGTGTGATGGAGGAGCACAGTGCAAATAGGGTAGAATGTATGTATGCCTCATTATGAGGCAAAACAGTGCAAAAATAGCTGATTTCTATTATGTTTCACAGAAAAGAACATATCATGTTACCCTTAAGCTAAAATAAGAAATGGTTGAGTAACTGAAAACTGACATGGAGATGATGCCATCTTTAATGGAAATGATGAGCAGTGAAAGCTTTAGTCTCTCTCTAGATGTCAAAACTGTCACATAGTACTGTTTCTATTTTTAAGAACCAGGACACTTGTGCTGCTGCTCTGAAACTTCTGAGGTTTGCTTTCTTGAATTAGTATTCCTGTGTAGTCACAGCACTCTGGCTCTCTTAGAGTTAGTCACATGCGTAGACCACTATCATTTAAGAATGGGGGAACTAAATGATACTGCAGAGGGGTTTGGGACTTAGAGAAAGTGATCAGGTTTTTGCTTCAGCTAGCTCTGGTGGAAAAAGAGGAGTTCTGGATTTCTGTAGTTGTTCTTTAAGCTTTACTGCCAGCTGTGACAAAATTAGTCTTAATTTGCTGGAGCAGGGCGGGCAACCAGGACTAAGTCAGTTCCTGTTCATAAATGAGCAGTTAAATTGAAATTGAAAGCACGTTGTTGCTGCAATAGTATGAGCTCCTCAGGTTAGTTATTTTAACTTTGGAAACATTCCTTTGGTTTTTGAAGCTGTAGACAATCTTCCCAAAAACCTTATGCTAAAAGACTTAGTGCCTTCCTTTGGCCAACCATGGTTGCCTCGACATTCCTCAAAATTATCTGTTTAGTGATTGTTGTGATACTTCTTGTATTGTGATTGTGCCCTTTGTCAGCATTTATAATTATTTTTGCAGAAGTTCTTTATTAGTTCCTTCAAGAAGGAAACTTGGTAAACAGTGCATCTATGGTTGGACTGATAACACAGATACAGTCAGTAGGAAGGGAGGGCCTTCTGCAGAAAGAATAGACAAGCTTTTGAGTGCAGAAGGCTTGGAGTTCCTGCAGAAAGATTTGACGTGCCAAATGACTGGGTTGCACTTCCTCCTTCATTTGGTCTTATAAAACAATCCCTAAATAATTCAGCTAAACAATGGAAGAAAGATGAAAAAAATTGCATCCCCCTCCCATTTATCAAGAGGAAATAGTCACTGTTTATCCCATATTCCACATAATTCATTCCCATGCATAAGTGTGTGGAGGTAGAAATGAGGTTAAGACCCCAACACTTAAGCTTAGAAGTAGAGGTTACTTGCAGCACAGTATTTGTCTGTGATGAGCTTTTCCTTTGCAATTAAACAGCTCCAGACTACTGCTCAGTTTTAGCTTTTTAAAAACAGTGTTGGCACAACTTGGTTTGCCCACGTTTTAAGCTTTTCTGTTGGTTGCACTGAAGGGTTTTTTTTTGTTTGTTTTCTTTAAACAGGAAAACAGCTGTGCAGTTTGAGGCAGGATCAGTCTCATACCTCTTACCTTCATGTAAAAGCAGGGCATGATTGTCAAGCCAACTTCTAGTTCTGTAAGGACAGTGACTCCCATCTGGATGTGCTGAGAGGGGCAGAGCTGAAACAGGTATGGGTTACTTTGCTTTCTAGGGGAGAGCTGGGTGAGCCTGGCTAGTGAACTACTTGCATCAGACTCAGGGTCTTCCCATGAAGCCATAGTATCTATCTAACAAGACAGAGGAAAGCCTAGAGTAGCAGTTCTCAACCGCTGGCTCACAGGCAGCAAACTGCCTGCACAGCCCCCTCCAGCTGCTGCTCCATTTGCCACAGTGTGCCTTGGCTGAAGGGAGCTGTGATTTGCAGCCTGTTGCTTACAGGGTAGCACTGCTCAGGGAGCACAGAACGGAGCTCAAATCGGCAGGAAGGGGAGAGAGTGGAAGGGCTTTGTGTTTTCCTGAAGGGGGCGGCTCCACGATGGGAAAGCACATCTGGTAAAGTGCTTATTCATAGAACCACAGAATGGCCAGGATTGGAAGAGACCTCAAAGATCACGAATCTCCAACCCCCAGCCAATGCAGGACCACCACCCTCCACGTTTCACACCAGCCCAGGCTGCCCAGGGCCCCATCCAACCTGGTCCTGAATAGCTCTAGGGATGGACGGGGCATCCACAGCCTCTGGGCAGCTGTTCCAGCACCTCACTGCTCTCACAGCAAAGAACTTCTTCCCTCCCTCAACTTAAAACCATTTCCCCTCGTCCTGCAGCTATCAACCCTTTCAATTTCTCTATCGATTTCACTTTCATCATTCTCTCAGCCGCTATGTTACTTTCCTTGCCTGCCTCAAAACCACGTATCGATGCAAACGGCAGCGTTCCCGTAAGCTCCATGCTTTCCACCGCGCGCGAGAGGCCCTGGGAGGAGACGATCCTTCCTCTCGGAAGCCTTTCTCCAGGCCTGGGCCTGCAGCCGGGCCGAGCTGCTGCTGCCGCAGCCTCCCTGCAGAGGGTGCTCGCTGCGGCACGCCTGGCAGCCCCGCGTGTCAATGTAGGAAAGAGAAAAAAAAAAAAAAGCGAAGCAGAGCGGGCAGCACGCAGCCCCGGGCGCCGGGCCAGGCACGACGGCCCCGCCGCCCCCCGATACGGCCGGGAGCCCGGCGGCCGCCCCCGCCCCCGCGGCCACGATCTCGGCCTTTGCGGCGCTGACTCACGGCGCCGCCGCCGCACGACTCCGGCCTTTCACGCCGCGCCGTGAGTCACGGCTCCCGCCCCCGGGCGGCCGGAGGGGCGGAGCGGCGGCGGCGGGGGGGCGGCCGAACCGCGTACAAAGCGGCGCCGCCGAGGTCACGGCGCCGGTTGGTGGCGGCGGCGGCGGCGGCGGCGGGGGAGCGGCATGGACGGAGCCGGGGCGCTGCTGGCCCGCTGCCCCGCCGCCGGGCTGGGCGTCACGGTGTGCGCCGCCGCCGCCGGGCTGCTGCTGTACCGCATAGCGCGGAGGTACGGGCCGGATCGGAGGGAGCGGCGGGCGGCGGCCGGATGCGGGCCCGGCGGCGGGGGGGATCCGCGCGGGGCGGCGGCGCGGGGGCCTCGTGGGCCGGGGAGGCGGCGGGAGGGGGAGCGGGGAAGAGCTAACGAGGCGAGGAGCTTCCGCGGCCGAGGCTTTGCCCGGTGGAGGGCTGGGCGTGTTTCTCGTGTTCCCAGGAATCGCTCCGTGTCTTTGTGTTCCGAGGAGTCGGCTGCCGTGGGAGCCGTGCTTTTAAAAAAAAAAACGCTCCGAACGTCTTTCCGTCCTGCAGGACGTTGGATGTGTCGCTGGAGTCCCGGCTTTGGGTTTGGTTGTTAACGTGCTTCTGGTGCTCGGGACGAGGAGAGCGGTTTGCTTCTTGTGGGAAGGTGTGATTGCAGGGAGCGGTGCTGGAGGTAGCAGTGCTGTGCGGTGCTGCGGGTTGGGAAGTCAGAATTATTTAGCGACCGTAATTCTGTAGGCATTTTGTTTTAATATGCGTGCAGCGTTTCTGACCTTAGGACAAAATTAAACAGATCGGTTAAAGCCAAAGTTTGAAAAGCATCTGGGTACGGGTTGCATGAAAGGTGTAGAGCTTAATTCTGCAGGCTGTAATCTAGCACAGTTGGAATGTGGGAATATACAGAATAAGAGGTGTGTTAGACTATGTAACAGGCTGTTCATCAGCTGAGTGCTGGGGTAAAAGAAGGCCCCACTGGCTCGTGGTGTGAAGGTTCCTGTCAGGTTTATGCTTCAGAACAGAAACATGCTTCTATATCCACAACAAAACCCTTCAGGTCTGCTCTATTGTGTTTGCAGTTCATATGACCACATGCAGCATCAGTGGTCTGTCAGCCTGTATGCAGGTATTGGCACTTCTGAGGTGTGTTTAGTAAGTAGTGGCCTAAAGCAATCCGAAGTGAAGCAGGCTGACCCTATTGACTCTAATGCCTCCTTTGAGGCAAGAGGTGGAATTTGTGCTTGAGTTTGTCAAAATGTCTCTGGAATGGGAAGCATTTCTTACCAAGTCCTTGTCGAGCTGTAAATAGTTCCATCGTGTGATGCTGATAATTCTTTAGGGCTCTGCGTTTGTTTTTCGATCCCATTCCAGTGTTACTTTTTTGCCTCAGTTAAATGAGTCCTCCAGAGTCAGTAAGGTAGCAGCTTTGTAAGAGAGGTAGGGATCCAGGGAGATGTGATGTTGCTTTTGCTGTTAGTGCAGTTCGGTTCCATTTTCAGAACAAGTAAATACTATATAGGTAAGCACAAGGTGACTTTTCCACAACAGCTTCTAGAAAGGGAAATAAAATAAATCTGAACAACTTAGTGCAAAGCAGTGCTGGTGTAACTGTTAACATGTAGAGTTACACTGCTGTAACTGTGGCAGCATCCTACATGGTTGCTTTTTTTATCAAGGCAGAAAAGGAGTTGATGTATACTCAGATAAGCAGGGCAGCTCCTTAAGGTTTGGGCCAGAAAGAAAAACTCTGGTGTGTTTGTGGTCTTCCTCTGAGATCACAGCATTGCTACTGGCTTCTTATGTGTTCTTGAAAGTCCTTTGCTGAGTTCAGACCTGCAACTAGAGCCATTTTTCCTTCATTTGTTGGGCCCCTCCTGATTGTTGGCTACTGACTTGTTACCAGGACCAATAGAGAGTACCTTGTGAGGGACTCTTTTTTGGGGGCTATTTTGGTCAGTAGTGGCAGAGGCTGCTCATAGGAACCATCACTTGGATGCCTGCTGGAATCCAGACAGCTGGGATGCTTCTTTTCACAATGGGTCTGCTCTGGAAGACCCCCTTTGACAGCACAGCTTGGAATGCAGCAGGTCAGTGAGTGCCACCCAGAAACTGAGCTTCCCTGACTGTGAGCTGAACTCAGCATCATGTTCCTTGATGCAAAAACCCTATGCATAGAAAACAGTCCAAACCTGGCAATTTTTCCACCTCGTTAGGGTGTGTGTGCTACTAGATTTTAAGCTGGTACAGCAAACATGCAGTAATTCAATTGCTGTTTGTTGCTCACATTTAACTTTGCAGAGTGGCTCTTTTGTCCAGGGAAGCTGATTCACATTAATGCAGCATTAAAATATAAACTCCTTGCAGATGGTTTTCCTGCTGCTCTGTAAAGAATTGAGCACAGGTAGATTCTTATATAGGTTTTGCACTGCCTGTCTTCTCATGATGATATCTGACTTCAGAAGCACTGTGTGCTCTGGGTTATGATGTTCAGTCGCTGTGTGGAATCAGTGAAGGTGTGGGTAGTTGAACATCTTTCAGTCTGTATTTGAGAGTCACGCTCTTTTTTTTTTTTTCATTGTTAAAGTCCTGCCCAGTTGCTAGAAAATTAGCACCCCACCTACGTGTTCTTGCCTCAGATGACCTTTTTTTCTTCTTTCTATATCCAGATTTTTAAAATTATTATTACTTTTTTCCTCCCGTTTCTATGGCAACAGATCATAGCATTAGAAAAGGAAGGATTATTGCTTTTTATCCTAAACAATCTAGGATGTAGCAATTTTTTTTGCATACGTTGTGTGAGTGAATGGCAGCTATTTAACCCTTGGTAGCACATCCTTAACTCCAAGCATGAGAAGAGGAATCCTGTTTGGTAAAGCTGGAAGGGTCTTGAGTGTATTAACAGTTCAAATCCTGCTTTATTACTTCTTTTTGCTTACCACATCTGTGTTATCCATGAATTTAGTGCTTCTGTCTGTTCCATTGCTTCACAGAAGAGGGAAGAGGTTGAAGTACAGCATCTCTTCTTTTCACCAGTGCCAGAGGATAGCTCAACAGCAGGCTGGGAGGGATTGAAGCACTTTGCTCCAGTGCCTCTATTAGTTCAAGGAGCTGTGCAGTGACCTACATCTGAGGATGGAATTTAGGTTGTGCTTGCTGTCAAAGTCTATGCTCAAGGCACAGTAGGATTTGTATTAGGCTAGCATGCTAAATCCTGTGCATTATATGTTGACAGCTTTTACACTTAAGGTAGTGAGATGAAACTGGCACCACTAGGTATTGCAGCCCATCCATTGCATGGCTTTTTTACCTGGATCTTTGGTAGTGACAGCTCAAGGGAAACGTGGACTAGTCACTTTATTTTCTGGTTTTCTTTTCTTTTTCTTCTTTCTCATGCCTGTCAGCTTCAGTGGTTGTATTTTTATCTCAGATTGCTTACTGTTTTGAGTCCCCTTGGCAATCAAGCAAAGAATTAAGCAGAGAACATCGATCTTAGGAGGGGTGTGGGAGTATACATCTATTTTGAGAAGAGAATCTGTCACCCTAGTAGCTCCAGCCATTTCCTTTCAGCATCTGGCAGGGAATCCTCTATGCACGCTTTGTGGGCTTCTTTTTGGTGCTTTGTTTCAGGTTTATCCTTATCATTCATACTTAAACAGGATGCTCAAGGATTTGATGTTTTACAAACCAATTTTCAAGACCAGGTCTATGGAAATGGGAGTTGGGAAAAATCTTAATTATAGGCATCCAGCTGCAAGGGTGATTGCTATGATAAAAGCCTGTGTAACTAAAGGGAGAACCACCTGCCTGTTTGGTTGCAGGGTTCCACATCACATTTCTTCAGCATTCAGGTGTTTCTGTACAGAACACTGCAACAGCAGAGAAAGTTTTAGGGCAAAGAGAAAGGAAGCTGCTCCCAACTTGGGCATTTCAGCTCCTGTTGTTTGCTCTCTAGGCTCTCGTTGAGCTGCCTTGCTCAATTGCTTTCAGTGCTGCTCTAGATGTTTGATGTTTGCCAAGCAGCTCTGTCCCTTTGGGCACAGATCACTGTGTGGGGTCCTGGTTGTTTTTTTTTTTCTTCCCTGACTGGGCCAACTTTTAGCAGCCATTCACCTGTCACAGCAGTGTATTTATGTATGTGCCCTATATGGACACTCTCCTGTAAAAGCTGTCTGGCCCTCATAGCTTTGCAGAACTGGGCAGCAAATGGGGCAGGCAGCAGCTGGACCTGTCTGTCTGCACGGCCACCAAGGCCAGTCCCTGCTTGGGCTCTGCCTGAGCAGCTGCCCTCCCTTGGAGGTGTGATTGTGACTGGTTGTGATTAAGCTCAGACAGCTGAGCTGTGTTGATGTGAAGCTTCCCCTTGGATATTGCTCCAGGCTTGAAGACAAATGCAGAGCTTCTTGAGCAGACAAGGGTCAACGTACTGAAGTTTTTTTGTTCAAACATTTGTCAAAACCTCTAATGGCACCATATCACAGCTGTTTCTCTTGCAGTGACTATTTAAAAAAATAAAAATAAAAAATCAAAACAAAGGGTTTATGGTCCAGGTGATTAGATTAGTCTTCATCATTTCAATTCCAGAATGTAAAAACTGGGGAAGGTCTGATGATTCCTCGTTTCCTTCTTTTTAGCTTGAGCTGTTAGAAGAAACAGCTATTTACAGTGCCTGAACTTTGGGCTAATTTGATATGCACTTGTCCTTGAAAAATTCCATGATAATCAAGGCAGGTAGTAGCACTGTAGCAGTGAGCTCACTTCCTAGGTTTCTGAATACCATCATCCACAGTTTTTATGGACTGTTCCCAGGATCCTGTATATTAAGCAGATACTCTTTGTGAATGTGAATGCTGGTGATTATGAACATGACTTCTACTCCCAAATGTACCTCTGGAAAAGCTAGTGAAGTGGTTTATTCACAAGGTCGTTATTAAAGTTCTGGCATGTCCACAGTACTAGCACAAAGAGATGTTAGCATCAGGGAGGAATTTATTTCTACTCTAATTGTTCTTCTTTTCATTGCTAAAATAACTACTGTGAGTCAGACAGTTACACTTACTGAATGGGAAGGTTGGCTGTTATTCCAGGCTCTCTTACGGTTCCCTGTTTGAAAGCCATTTCTTTCTTTCACATCAGATCTGATGCTGATGCCTGACACGTTTCTGTTCCTAACAGGAAGAAGCCCACACATGTGACAGTGAACTGCTGGTTTTGTAATCAGGACACGGTGGTGCCATATGGGAATCGCAACTGCTGGGATTGCCCCAACTGCGAGCAGTACAACGGCTTCCAAGAGGTACAGTGATGAATTGCCTGGAGGGAGGCTGGGGAGGTGCTCTGTGGCTGAATATTCAGCAGATTGACAGCTGGTGGCTCTGTGCTGAGCACCTACAATCAGCTGCTCAGTACACTTGTTCACATTTAAGAGAGCATCTGCATGCAGGGGGATGTGCTGATGTGGAGTGGTGATGTCAAGGCCTTTGCCCTTTGAAGCAGGGGAAGAAAATTTGTCATTTTCACCAGTATCTCTGAAGATTAATTTTTTTTTTTCATATGGAATGATTATTCTTTTGTATTTTGGAATAGATGAATTGTCACATAGGGTGTCAAATTACAAGGCCTTTCTTAAACCAAAAGGCAACAACTGCGTACAGTGGATGTATAGAACAGTGGATGAGGAGAAGATCTGAAGTGTTTTATCTCTCTTTCACTTTTCTTTTTGTTACTTAGTTATGGAGTACAGAGCTTGGAGGATTTTGTTGTCAGCTAGAGAATACCTAACTTTGTTTTATATGATCTCACTTTTGTTTTTCCTCCTGGTTTCTTTTTGATTCTTTTCAGAATGGAGACTACAACAAGCCCATCCCCGCTCAGTACATGGAACACCTTAACCACGTTGTTTCAGGTGCTACAACTTTCTGTGATCCCACCAAACCGCAGCAGTGGGTGAGCAGCCAAATTTTGCTTTGCAAGAAATGCAACAACCATCAGACTACAAAGATCAAACAGCTTGCTTCATTCTCACCAAGGGAGGAGGTAAGTCTTGGGTAGGGACTGGCATCATGGAAGCACGTTCATCCTATGCTTTCCACGTGGCAGAGCTGTGTGTCTTTTGTGGCTCTTCATCTATAGAGTCATAGAGTGGCTTGGGTTGGAAGGGACCCAAAGGAGCATCTGGTTCCAGCCCCTCTGCCATGTGCTTTGCTGAGGGCGAGGGCTAGTCTAGTTTTCTGTCTTATCATCTGTGTTCATGAGATGTAAACAAAAACAGCAAAATTGACTACAGAAAAATTGGCCACAAATTGGAGATTCCCATAATAACAACAGAAGCTTTCTCTGAGTGCTGTATGTGTCTCTTCTGGTATATGGAGGCTTGGTGAGCTATCTGGGAAGCTGATTGTATGGCTTGTGTCCAGCTTAGTCATTCTTCAGATCTAGTTTTAGGACTTTTTCTGGAATCTGGGAACATGCCCCATTCACGTGTCAATAGCAAGCATGATAACTGGTAAGGGATCTGCAGTGCTCACCTACTTGTTTGTTTTTTCCTATCATCAGGGCAAATATGATGAGGAGATTGAGGTGTATAAGCACCATCTGGAGCAGACCTACAAACTGTGTCGTCCATGCCAGGCTGCTGTGGAATATTACATAAAGCATCAGAATCGGCAGCTGCGGGCACTGCTGCTCAGCCACCACTTCAAACGCCGTGAGACAGACAAGACCTATGCTCAGGTATGTTGCAGGAGAGAAGAGGGAATTTAGGGGAAAGTACAGAAAAATCAGTGCTTCTGCATCTGAGTTTATAGCTGGGGGATATATCAGTGCTGGTGGCTGCCATGGGGCTTTCTAAATCTGGGACCATGGGTGCATAGCAGAAGTTTAGAAAAATGTGGAATAGTTTGCATAGATACTTCCTGTTGTTAATTTGATCTTTCTGTCTTGTTTGTGTCATTTAAGAGACTGTCTGAAATGTAATTATGAAAGAGTGGAATTAGAACGGTGGGACAGGCAAAAAAGGGGAGATAGGGATGCTAAGTCATGAGTACAGTGCAGGAAACTACAGAGTTCAGGAAAAAAGAAATAAGTATGATGGAAGGTGATCTATGACCTCTTTGGCTCAGTGCCCAGCAGACCTTGGCTTCTGCTTGTACTTCTGTTCTTTGCTACCCTAGCACGTCCCATCCAGCATCAGTCCAGTAGTGAGATGGACAAGGGCAAAACTGTTCAGTAAACCATACAGTCTAAAAGTAAAGCACCATTTCAAAACCTTACTGCATTTTTTTTTTTTTTTTTTTTCAGTTTCTAACAAGAAGTTTTTCTCTTCCTCTGCAGAACTTGTGTTCATCTTCCTCCACTACTTCCATAACTACACCAGCTCAGGTGATATTTCTGCGGTTCTTGGCCTTCCTCAGCTGTGCATTCCTGGTTCTGTTGGCCTTGTACGGACCAGGCGACCCTTTCTCACTCAATGCTGCAGTCCCTGCTCCAGTCTCTTCTAGTCCAGCATCTGTTCAGAACAGGACTGGCACGAGCTCACATGCAGACTTAGGAAATGACACTTCCATGACGGCGGCAGGCTGGCAGGAGCTGCTCCACATGCTCCCAGAACAGATGGTGGAGAACCTGAGCGCTGCATGGGATTATGGAAAGAATCATCAGATGGCAGTTGCTGTTCTTGGGTTGTTCACCTGCCTGCTAGCAATGTTCTTGGCTGGGCGGATCAGGTGGGTGTGCTTTTTACTTCTGTTCCAATTCAAGAAAAAACGCATTGGCAGTTTTGTCTTGACTCAGTGAGACATGGGGCAGCTCCAGAATGTACTGGGTGGCACTGTTCTCCGTGTACTTCTTTGGATTTCTAGCAAGTTTAACAGCAGAGCTTGCTTCTTTTCTGTGCCTTGATTCATTCCATTTAAGCTGGAATTTCAGTGAATGGAAACTTCCCAGTGCAACTGTTGGAGAGTAAAACTAATCTGTTGGTGGTACTTAGCACAGCAGTGGGAAAGGCTGGTGATGATACATCCCAGTACATGGCCTGTTCAGCCTTTGAACTTTCCCCACTTTTTCCCCAGCTTTTCCCTTCCCACCACTTCCTCACAGCTATGGGATGGGGTTTATTGAAGTTTGTATCTTCATTGATTGTTTTTGTTGTTTTTATTTTTGACATTACAGGCTCCGAAGAATTGATGCATTTGCTTCAGTCTTGTGGTTCATAGTGATGAGCCTGCATTTAGCTGAGAGGTACCTGAAGATGGAAACACCCAGCTGGCTAGATACAGCCAAATTTGGCACCACGTCCCTATGCTGCTTGGTGGGCTTCACTGCAGCAGTGGCAACGCGGAAATCAACGGGCCAGCGGAGATACCGGCCCCGAAGGTCAGAGCCAGAGCAGTGACGCTGGGGGAAGGAGGAAAAAAGCCTTATGAACTCTGTGCGACTGGTGCTTCTCTCTTCTCCTTTTATTTTCTCTCCCTTTTATTATTTTTTTAAATTAGAAAAGCAGTGAAGATCTTTTCTTCTTTTATACACACATATATATATCTTTTTTCCTGCCATCCTTGCTTCCCACTGTGTTAGCTTCTTGGAGCATTCCCACTGCTGGTGCTAGCCAAGGAAGCTTCTCCTGCTGCATCCCTTCTCCCTTCCTTCTGAATCCTACGTCAGCAGTGCAAATATCCAACCTTCCCAAAGCCAGTTCTTCCAGCAACTGCTTCACAAACTGCTCCATAAATGCAGACTCCTTCCCATCCTGCTTCTCCAGCCAAAGAGATTCTGGCTTCTCCTGTCCTTCTGGTTCTTCTCACTGCCTGTCCATCCTTAGCCAGTCACAGAGGAATCCTCTTCCTTGATACTCCATGAGGCCTGGGCCACATTCAATTTTCTAATGGTGCTGGTCGCTTTAATTTCAAACTGATGGAAACTTGCCTCTGGATTCTGACTCCTCCTGGCGTGTGCTGTAGTAACACTGCATGATGTGTGGGCATGCAAGGAGGGGACACACGTAGTCCATAACATTGTTCTTCTTGCCTTCCACTGTGTAGCATCACTTAACTGCATGCTGTCTTGCTCTGCCATTCTTCTGGGACTCCTATTTTAAATGAAAAGGAGTCCTGAAGTCCTTTTGACTGGAACTTCAATGATTTATTTTAAAGGGTGCTTTAAAAGGTTATGTAGCTCAAAGTGTCTTTGTTAGATATCTGAAAATACTTTAGGCTTAATTTTCAGTTCTACCAGTGGCTGTTGTTTTCTGTGCTAGTTTTCTTTATTTGTTTGGGTTGTTTTGTTTTCTTTTTTGTAAGAGGAGCCTCTGTGTAAAAGCACAACTGGATGAAGCTGTGTTCCTCTACTTCTGTAGCCTTAGAAAGAGAAGGTATACAGTACTTGCAACTCTATGCTGTGCTATATGGCTGACTTCTGCTGTATGTCACTGCTTATCCAGTTAATGTTTTACTTAAAAGAAATGCAGGTTCTTGAGAACACAGGAAGATGTGCTGTAGTAAGGGGTGGGAGCTTCTGCTGCAGGACCCATAGCAATAGAAATGTTACTGGAGGGAATGTGGGGTGTCTTAGTGGAAGTTGGCATTGGTAGTAATGCACCTAAAGAAAGGGGCCTGGAAATTGTAACTTCTGAATTGAGACCTTGGCAGTCCTCTTCTGAAAGCTTGGATGGCTGGGTTACTGCATACACAGATGAAGCTTGAGCTTGCTGGGTCCTTGCTGGGTAAGCAGTCTGATTATCTTGTGCTCTTTTTTGTAAGGCACTCCACTGATTTTTCCCATCTGAGTTCAGGTCTTGCAGTTGGAGATGGGCTTTCTAGAGGAAACAGCACCGTTCCAGGAAATCTGCTATTATATTCAGAATAGCAGGCAGGACATGCCATGGTAATAGTCTGATACGTTAGCTGGATGTCTTGATCTTCCTATGCATAAACTCTAAAATAAGCAGAATGGAGCTCTCACTGTGAAGTTTCTGCATCTCCCACTGAAAGATCCAGATGCTGCTGGATACTGGAGAAGCAGGTGAAATGCTAAGAACAATATTTAAGGAAACAAAATGTGTCATATCTTTCATAGTTATTGTTCTTCAAGCCAAAATTCACTGTGAAAGCACAAATGTAGCACTAACAAAAAGCTCTGTATAGATCCATTATCAGTAAGCCAAGTGAGCTGAGTGTGTCATGGGCAGGTACAGCTCCTGGATGAAAGACTTTGTGCCTGTAACACAGCAGCTGGCATTGGAAGGGAACACAGAAACCTATTTCCCATGTGTGCTCTTCTTTACAAATAGTTTTAATGGTGCCTTCAAACAACTGCTGTATCCACCTCCAAGCCAGCACAACACCTTTCTCCATTCTGGTGCTCACAAACAATGCTGTTCAGGTGGCTGCTTATTTACATGTGCACAAAAGGGAACCAGCATCTTCGGAACCTGGTTCTGCCCTTCTGTTTCCTGGTGCTTCTCAATCCTGACCCAAAAGCTTTGTCTTCCAACTCCAGACTCCAGTTTTTTTCGTTCCAGTCTCAGGCTTCTAAAATGCTAAATAACAACTACTGTGTCTTTATGCTGAATAACAATTACTGTGTCTTATTTTCCACGAGGACAATGGATATTTACTGAATTTAGAGAATTGTTCCTCTAAAGTAAATACTTCTAAGAAGCCATGGGAGTTCATCAAAGCAGAAAAAAGCCTGAAATATGCACAGTCCTTAGTACTGGCTTAGACTTCTGCAGTCACTCTGACTCCTTTTTCTCACTAGTAGGAGATTTAGTAGGAAGTGTGCCCTAAAAATCTGGTGTCTGTACCAGACCATAGGCTCCTCTGTCAGCTGGTGGAAGAAGGGAGAAATATTAAGAAAGACAGCAGTAGACTGGTGAAAAGATAGGAAGTAGCAAACAACTGCGTATATTTTTGTAGATAGATGATTTACCACTGTTTACTTAGCCTTTCCTCCAGTGCAGTGATCACTGCAATGTTTTCAGGCCTTGAAAACTCCTTACTGCAAATGTCCTTCCAACACAATTTTCCTGCAGTCATCTTCTCTTCAGTGTCATGGACAAATCCACCTAAAGAAATGGGCAGTGGAACCAAATCCAGTGCCAGCTCTGTCATTCTCTAAACTACCTGCATGAAAGACCCATAAGGTGACCTTATGTCCATTATTGAAATAAGACCTATGGCCTCTTTTTTGCTCCTTTCTTTGTCTTCAGTATTTCCCAGTTCATTTTTTAAAATGAAATGTGGGAAGGTAGTCGTTTATGTTAAGTTGTGATTGTCTTGTGCGTTTGCATATAGAACTTGAAGGTTCCTTCTAGCATGTGAGTTTGCAAGCAGCTGGTCTTGCAGAGGTAAACAGTTTCCCCTTGCTGCTCTGCTGTTAGCTATATCCAAATAGTGGGAGGAACCACGCTTTTAGAAGAGGAGAAAGGGGTGAGGTGAGGGGAAGTAGCTGACAAGTATGTGGGAATGGTCTCAGTAACATCATGCCTGGTTTCTAATGGCAATATCCTTTTCTTTAGAAGGGATAAAATTGATCTGAATCTTCTTGCCCTGTAGCAGGGAAACTTGGTGGCAGCATGCAAAGATGCTGGTCAGCCTCTTCAGAAATTTTACTTTCAAGAGCTGAAAGGGCTGTGTCAGGTATTGCTTGGTCCTATTTCTTGTGGCCCCATAAGTCTGAGAAGCTGTTTTCTTCTCTTCTTTTTAGCAGTATTTTATTTTTTTCTTTCAGTTTAAATATGCCCTGTATTTGCGCTCTGAGCTCTGGCACTTTTTACACTTATTCTGTTGTTTTACATCACTTTCTGTGCCTGATCTTTTCTCTTACTCTCTTGCCTTTTTTCCTATACAGTGGTGTGATGGAATGGGGGGGGAGGTGCACCCAAAATCCCTTGAGCAGGCAGTAGAACTGGGGGAAGGAGTGGGTTTTATACTGTGAAGCCCAAATAATATTACTAAAAGAATATTTGAGGCAAGAACTCTTTGTCTTCACTTTATTCAAATTAATACAAGTGAAGTATGCTTACAGGTTGCAGTAATATTGCATGTCAGAACACCAGAAAACTGCTTCGTTCTGTGGCCAGCCTGTACAACTGAAGCCTTGGTCTCTGCGGTGCTTTCTTCACCTTACAATCGAAGAAATTTTGGACTCTTAATTGGAAAAATTTTTAAAGCAAAACAAAATAACAAAGCAGATGTTGGAGTGCGACTCCTCATGCCAAAGAAGTTGTCTTTGCTCCAGACTTGAGCTTATTTTCCCAGTATTTGGTGCCTGAGCAAGTTGGTGCTGCTGCTGCTTCTAAAAACAAAAAACCTCAAAGCTTTAGGAACAAATATGCAGCAATTGCATTTCTGGTCTCTTAGAAGCTCTCTTTTTGCCTTGCTTATGTGTTTTGTTGGGGCTGATGGAATAGGAGGAGAGGGAAGCAAGAAAGAAAAGGATTTTGTTTTCCCAGTGGTTTATGAACTGCTAATATTAGATCTGTACCAGTTGTGTCCTTGGAGCTCCTCCTTAGACATTTAGGTCTGAAGAAGATGATTTTCAGTTATCAGTATCTTACTGTTGACTCTTTCTGGACAAAAAAAAATAGTACTCTAGTTAAGGAAACTATTGCTGCCTTTACTGACACTGTTCCTGCAGTACCTGATTTCAATGCCAAATAGACTCTTCTAAACAATATGCCATGCTGTAGCTTCTGTAAGGAAGGTGCTTTACCAATCTCATGTCTTCGCCTTGGGGTTCAGTTAAGAAATAGCCCAGCAGTTAGATATGCCATCTGACTGTGACAGGTTTCTTTCCCCCTTAGGCTCCAGCAGAAGGAAGTGCATGCCAGCAGCTCAGTTATTCTGGTGCAAGCCCCACATCTGAGCGTGGTGTCACTGTCCTTGCAAGGCTGAGATGTTGATTTGTATGCCACATTTCCTTCTGCTGAGGGAAATAATAGCTACCAAAGGGCTGGTAACATACAAAAAAACCACTGGTAAGAAATCATCCAGAACCACTTGGTTGGTGCTTTGAGCCTCTTATGTTCACTTAGAGGTATTTATATTTCGAGCTACAGAGAAACAGGTGGTAAGTAACCTGTGGTCACCAGATACAGCTCTGTTGCCTAAGGGTTCTCCCAGCCACGCAGGCTAGAGGATGCCAACACCATAACCCAGCAGAATTAGAGGGTATTGGCCCCAAAAGCCTCTCATTTTAGGTGCTGCTTTTTGACCCTGGCCTTATGCTGTTGTCTGAACCAGAGGATGAGGACTACAGAGTGGAGCTGAGGTGGTGAGGAACTCCTAGTGAGTATGTGCCTCACTTAAAATCAAGCCTGCTCCAGCCCAAAAACACCTTGTGCCCTGCTCAGCAGAGTGAGATGCATAAAGGGC